TGTAGAAATACATATTCATTTTGTGCCTTTATACTAGAGAGAATAAGCAAAAACATGTATGTACTTAGATACGTATAATTTTAATATTATAAGTACTCTACTTTATTTATTTAAGGCTCTTCTAATGCCTTCTTTATTGAAAGGTATTATAGCACTGCCGTGAAAGTGTTTAAAAATTTGATTCCATGGTAGATCGTATAGTACAAACATTCTCATTATTTTTTTTATGGGATAAGCCGGTCATCGAGCAGACGGATCACCCAATGGTCAGTAATCGGCGTCGCCCATAGACACTATAGGCGTTACAAGTGCGTTACCGGGCCTTTGGGGATAAGGGTTTGAGGATTATTGGGGTTTTATTGGATGGAGGAAGGGGGGATAATTGGGCCTCCGGTAACCTCACTCACACGACGAAACACAACGCAAGAGTTGTTTCACGTCAGTTTTCTGTGAGGTCGTGATACCACTCCGGTCGAGCCGGCCCATTCGTGCCGAAGCATGGCTCTCCCACACCTTTCCCAACTAAATGGAGTTTGGAATTGTGCAGTGTATGATGACACGATTGGATCCAATAGGGTAGATGCCTAATTTTTATTTTAATGTCCGTCTGGTAGATTATTTTAAATCATTACACACTACTTATTTTTTATTTTCTTACAGAAACGAATACTTTCGACAATATATTGATTTGGAATGTCGCGTGACGTCACTTCTATGAACATTTTATACGTAGAAATGACGTTTTATCCTAGAATTGTTTTATTATACGACAAAATAAAAAAATACGTTTTTTAATTACCTACATGACGAACTAATTAGATTTTTCATTTTCATACCCTGTCATCATCCCAATTGCGACTATTATCTTCACCTCTGCCTGCCCCTTCTCTTTTAGAGAAACAAAAGGCAAGATGTTTTGTAATGTTCCATAAATATATCTTCATAATGTCTCATACAAAGGCAGTTTTACATTCCACCTACATTTTAATGCCAGGTCGACCTTTTAATAGCAATTTACTGAGGTGCGATGCCACGTCACAAGTTTTAAATAGGATTAGGGTACCTACAGGTGAAAACGTTCATAATTACCTTTTACTTGGTATTAACTCATTAGGCTCATATTTTCTTTTGCAAAATGTATTATTTTTACATTACATACAGTACCTGTATATTCAACAGTCTGTGACGGTGTGGATCATATTGGTAGGATTTCTTTTGTAAAATGTGGTATTTTTTACATCACCTACGTACCTGTTTACTCAACAGTCTATGACGGTATACTAGTAAACTTCTGAGCCTTCTCTATATGAGAAGGTTTGTCGCAATCTCTACGATTGGGTAGCGATTAGAGATCCTAGTTTAAGAAGTTCAGGTTTCATGATAGTGTGTTTACTACTCGGCTCCTGTTGTCAAATGTGTTGTCCCCTCTTAGGACATTCGTTGGAAAAGCAGACATGGTGATAAATGCATTCTATTCTGTCTTTATCACACTGCTTGAAAATAATAGAGTAGAGGACTAATTTTTATTTTAATGTCTGTCTGACAGTTTATTTAAAACATTAGACACGTATTTTTATTTTCTTACGGAAACAAATAGTTTCGAAGATATATTGATTTGAAATATCCCATGACGACACTTTTGAATACGATTTATAAATACTCTAAAATGACGTAGCTACTTCCCACCCCTAAAGTTTGTTTGGTTTATCTAGGTACTTATTGTTTTCTTATACGACAAAATAAAAAAAATACGTGTCTAATATTTTTTAATTACCTACCTAACTGACGGTCTAATTTGATTTTCTTTTCATACCCTGTCATTATCCCTATTACAACATAACATCAGGCTTTTTATCCCCGAAGGGGACACTTTTCACTATTTATGTTATGAGTCCCATATAATATAATAGGGAGTGATCCTATTGCCATATACCGGGCACGCTTCCAAACTCTGTGCTACCTCTGAGATTTTTTTAAAAACCCAGTAAGTAATACTTTGCCCGACCTGGAAATCGAACCTGAGACCCCTTGCCGGCAGTCGTAATTGCGGCCACTCGGCCAATGAGCCAGTCAAAGTAAAATAATTACACACAAAACTAATTTATAAATTGTTTTATTTATAATTGCATTTATCAAAGAATATTTACATACACTTACAGCGTAATAATACGTGAAACTTACAATACAAAAAAAAAACAATTTAAAAAATAAGTACATAAGTCACTTACATACATATATAGGTCGCTTGAAGCTTTTTTGTTTTTATATATTAAGATGGGCCGATGTTTGACCACTATCTCACCTGGTGGTAAGCGATGATGCGGTCTACGATGGAGCTCGTCGTCCCATAAGCAACCTATTCACTCGGGCCTCGGAGACATCGATGTTATAGCTTAAGTTTTGATTATAATATTTACATAAATAATTTAATTTAATACACATACGTATCTAGTTACAAAAATGTACAAGATTTTAAGTGGCACAATGTATTTTAAACATATAAATAAGTATTATTATTCTTATAAAAGTTTGTCACAGCATATTCTTGAAAACGGCTGTCACAGTTTTGATAAAATTTGCAACAAGATATTGTGTATTATAAGACTGAACTGCGGTAAAAAATCGCTCTAGGTCCCTACCTGTGACCTAGAACGATTTTTTTTACGACTTTTTTTACAAAAGATAGAAACTATCCCTATAGTTTCTATCTTTATAACATTCGGAATTCTATTGCCTCATAGAATATTTTAAAACAATATTTATTTATTTAAACCTGTATGTAGTTGGAGTGTGAAAAATCGCTTCTCCATTTTGAAACCGAAACATAGGATCACAACAAAGCACTGTATAATGGCGTACCATTTGAATTTACAAACTTATTTCAAGCACTTTAAGTGTCATTTTTACTTGAACTTCTTACAAGCTGTCTTGTTAGTGTCAGTAGGAACGTAGGAGACATGACACTCTTTTGTTTTTGTTCAAGTTGCTTTTAATGTATGCTGAAACTGGAACGTTTGTCAACAAAATTGACTAGCTCAAAAAAGATAAAGGTTTCGTGATATAGTTACACGTAATATTAAAATAATACTGTATTTAGAAATGGAGGCGTATATTCTTACAAAATTAATATGATAAATCAACACAACAACATTAAAACTAATTGAAAATAACATATTACTCACGTGTATCGAGAAAGTTCTACTAATTTCAAGTCAGGACGGGACTCTTATATATGAATACTCATTAAAACTGATGACAATCCCACTTTTACTAACAAAACATGAACTTAATAGTAATCAAACAAATTCTAACAATAAATTAAACTATTCTAATAGCACAGACATTGCAATATACAATGGACATTAAAAACAAAATGGCCGCGATGAACATCTACAATTTACTTAAGTCAACGGGACGGTAGCTAGAATTGCATTTAATTAAAATAGAATTGAACCACACCTCTGACATACTGGTTAAATTATTTGCGCAATAAAAACTACACAAAGCCCTTAGCACTTAGCTAAATGAAATTAACCTAGAGAAGGTGAAGCTATTGAATGAACGGTAAATGAAACTCGAGTGTATCATAAAACTATGAATTCCCTTGATATTCAGTACTTGGACAATGATTCTCATAAGTATTTTAATAAATATAAAACGAACATACGAACAACAACGGAGGTCATAGTCATAGATGACTCGGCAGAGGTGAAATTTAGTTTACAAGGAGACAGAACAATTTTATTTGTTGGTTGTGGGATAATAATATACCAGGTATGAAATTGCGTAAAAGGTTAACTTGAAGAGGAAAGCAACGTAAGTAGAGATGAAGATAAAGGTACAGATTCTCACAATAGCAACAAAAATGGACATATATAAGCAAGGAATAATGTTACTCGTGTTAAACATAATTTGAATGACTACGACGAAGTGTTAATATCTATCACAGATAAAGTCTACTACATAAAAGACCAAGCACATAAAAGAACTATAGCATAAACGACTGATTTGTAGATACTAAAAATAAGACATTCGTTCATGAACCAAAAGTGCCTATAAATCTGCCTTCTCCCATTCTCGTTATAGGCTATAAATATATTCCAGTGAATTTTCGGTACACAATATCTAAAGTAGAAGCCAAAATGTTGACTGAGCTGATGAAAGGTTCAATTAACAATGTTGATTTTAAACACAAGGATTCGATGTAATATATCCAGTGGATATTTCCAATTTAGAAATTTAACCATGAATCAATTTTCGTGTGGCAATTTGCCAAGTATAAATAGAGGATTATTACTAACTAGCACAAAATGTAAGGAGGGTGAATGGGTAAGGTATTCGCCGAGAATAGAAGTTTAACTTTATAACAAAAAGAAGATGTTGATGAAAACAGGGTCCCAAAAAATGTTCCCAAATTAAAGAGCTTTTACAAAAAATCTGAAGATTCCTTTGTATTATTTGCTAAATAAACAACAAAATGGAATTGTAAAAATGCTTTCCATGAAAAAATGCCAAGTTCTGAACTACGCACAACAAAGTTATCGCCGAAAGAAAGAAAAAGGGTAAATCTAATTAAAAACTTCCGTCCGACTGAGAGAAACTCTCCTAAAAACGTTGAATTGAAAATGTATCGAGAATTTTTCAATCAGAACAATTACTTTTCATCGTTTTTATTATTTAAACGACTATGTTCCGATTAGGTACAATAGGAGCAAGAACGTAAAGATTTGAATAAGCTTCACTTAACATAATTAGGAGTAGCTATGTGTATGGCACTTAAGTAGGTCAATCCTTATTGTGTGTTAAATATACACGTACAAATTTTACACATAAAAGAAAATTCTCCCTTTTATAAACATGACGATGCAAAATAAACACAACAGTCACTAGAAACAGTCCTCAAAGCTTGCAGACTTACAATTAATATACACGTATGAAAGGAAAGTCTTATAAAGTGTCACTTAGAACATTAGTCCACTCATTCACGCGGCCTCACTGCATCAGGTGGGAGGGTCTAGAGGAGGGGGCTCCTTCTCCTTGCCCAGAGGACTTCCACCTGAGTCCGCCGCATCACTGTTACCGCTATTAATTGCCACTGACGTCAGAGGTACCTGCAAATTAATTAGATGGTAATTTTTTCTAGAATTAGTGAATTAGTACGCTGATTTTGTCTCTTGAGAAATTAATTGAATACGGTTTTTTTTTTTTTTAAGGTCGATTTTTCCAATGCCTAATAGATTTTAACCGAGGAATATCTTTGAATATTTATCAATTCTTTCATACTAAAAACTGTCAAATGTCAATTTTATTCTACAGTTAAGAATTAACTGGTGATTGATAAATCGGCTCTAAGCGTTTGATCTGAAAACTTGTGTTATATATGCTAGAGTTATATGAATTATTATTATATTGAAGACAGATTCTTTAAAAGAGTGTTTTTTGACGATATTTTTTGGAAATTGCTTTCTATTATTCTGGATTTTGTTAAGACTGGCTGCCTATAAAAAACTGTTGAAGCTAAATCCTCTGCTAACGCCGGTCACCGGTGACCCCCATGGCGTTTAACGTGTTAACTAAAATTAACGGTTTACTCACGCAAACAAACTGAGAAAAGCTATACTAGTTTTGAACCGTAGAGGAACTCTTCCTCATATTAAATATTTTATTATGTTTTCGGCTTACTCGCGTAATTATTTGACGAGGAACTCGACTAATTTCAAGTTATGCTAGAGGTTAGCCGTAAAGTGAGTTTAGCCGAAAACATAATAATAAACTCTTCTTTTCATACATGGGACTCATAACATAAATAGTGAAAAGTTGCTGTTACATTGTAATGGCATTAAGTGCCATTGTGTGCACCTCTGCTTATCCCTTCGACGATAAAAGGAGTAATGTCGTTTCTTTTTGTCATTTTATGATGAACTCGACAGCAAGTACCCCGGCTCGTAAGCTATACCTACATTACAATAAAGTAACCGTGGGATTTGGAAAACAACGCTTCTACCGAAGTTTTAGTTAGAAACAATAATGAACAATGATTAGTATAATATTTCCAGAGGAACTTCTTCTTATAATATTTTCTGTTTATCTATCTCTCTGGAGGAACTTTCAAGTACATACATTCATATATGAATTTGGTCTAATATAACTGGTGTTGTGAATACAAATGTAATAGACTCCAGAGTATTGTTGTCTGCTCTTGTACATGTGAAATCCAGTATAAATTGACCGTAGAATGTTCTGAAAGATGATACAAAAGGAGACTATGATACTCTGGTTACGTACAACTTGATGTGTTTGTCGTTTGTACTGGGTATGATGTACTAAAAAGTTCCTTTGCTTCGCTCGGTATGGTTTTTATTTAGTCGTCTATAATATTTGGTCCTTTGGGTATATTTTGGTTCTGCATTTCACTGTTTTTGAAATGAGAAGTTAAGTTTGTTTTTTTTGTAGTTGGAGATTGATATTGTTTCGTAGATTTATTGCTTATATATTGAAGTGTCACATAGGGATTCTGAATTTGTAACAGCATTTTGTTTTCCTAGCTTTTAGGTGTTTGTTTCACCCAAACGCATCAAAAACGTCTTTCATCTTCGTTTGACAGAACTCTAAAATTGATTTCGTTTTTTAACCTAGTTATCTAAATAAGTCGCGGAGAATCTAACGGGTTACCGGGGCTCCGGCTCGACGTGCAGGAGTAGGAACGGGGTGGTTTTTAGTCAGTAAGAGTTCGACACTCCCTCCCGCCTCACCCAGGCGGGAGCAGATATTCGATGATTTTCCCCCCTTAAAAAAAAGTCTTCTAAATAAAAGCGTACATATACAATAAGTATGTCACAACAATAATACAATAATACAATAATTAACAATAATACAATAATTTTATAGAACTTAGTACCTCTTGATAACCAACCCTTGTACTCATTCATTTCAATGTAAAAGTCATGCAAATATTCAATCTTGGTTCCTTTACTTTGTGATTTGCATAGCTTTGTTTGAGTTTCACGGCGATACGTATACATGACTACACGAGCTATAAAAAACCAATTTATTTTGGTCCGGCTTTCTATGATTTATTCAAACATTTGAAGGTCAGTTTATACTGGATGCTACAGCCCGATGTGTATGTGTACTGTGTGTGCGTCGCACACAGGTAATATATTTTACTCCACGATATCGTACGGCACGGTTTTAGGGCTTGTACACAAGACTGCGATGCGACGTACCATTGCAAAAATGTGTGAACTCCTACGCATCGCAAGAACTGGCGAATTGATTCGCATGGCGCAACAAAATCTTATATTCCCAAAATCTTCTTTGTTTCTTTTTCCTGTATCTCCTAAGCAATAACAGAAGTGCACACTTCTTTTTAAGATCCATGCCACGATCTAGTTTTCAATTTAAAATACGTTTAGTACGGTTGACGGTCGTCGAAGGAATGGCCACCATGGGAGACGCCTTGTCGCACTGTTATAAACCTTATTACAAAGCGGTAAAGCCTAAGTCAGCCTTTACAAATATAAAGTACATTTCCATCGCATTTTGCTGATACTGCATTTCCGTCTAATGCATGGAATTAATATAATGCAATAAAAAATCAGTTAGATTCTGGACGCCGTCACACTATCTATTGTGCTCTGAGTAATCTGAGTATTAAGAGAGACATTATAGAGACATTTCTTCAAGTTTATACTAAAACTATATGTGGTTGTGGTAAACATATTAAAGTGGTTCCGTAGAACATTGTCTTTTATTCTAAAAAAGGGACAAACGGGGTCGGCCTACTAACAGCACGAAATCGCAGCAATTCGCATCGTAATTTTTTGTGTTGCGAATTCGAATCGCAGTTTTGTGTACGAGCCCTTATATAGAGTAAAGACTATAACTTGGGGCGCGAATATGTACCGTCTGCGTTTTATGAGAGCCTGGTACTTTGAAGAATTCGCGGCCGAAGTTTCGATACTTAATTAACAAGTACTGACAGCTTTTAACTTTAAAAGTAGAATAATTAATTAAGTTTCCATAAAACCGCGAATCGTATAATGTAATTTGATAATGAAGTTGTGTAATAATTTATTGTAACATGTTTATTATAGGTACCTACTCTTATTCCTAAAGAGTAGAAAGAAAGAAACGATATACAGTATAAACTTCGTTTTTTGATGTAATTTTTTTTTTAATCTTTATTTAATAAGAAGGGTATTTTTCCTAAAAGGAAAACGTCAGCCATATTAAAGGATACAAAATTCATTACACACTTACTAAAATAAAGCAGCTAAACCGTTTAAAGGTTACACCCTTAAGCTTAAACATAAAATGATTAAACGATACCATTTTCTAGCCCCAGACGACAATGGTGACGTTAAAACACTGTGATAAAAACCAATATTGAAGCTCTTAAAACTAAATACTTGAGATCTCTGAGACTTAATACGTTGACACCACAGATATATTGACACTCATACAAAATGTGTTGCACGTCCTCTACAACATCACACACAGCACAATTGGATGATTTGAGATATAAAATGTTGTAGTTATTAGTCTTTCTAGTATTTTCTTTACATTATCACACCTTTTATCACCGAAATGGTAGGCAGAGGTGCTAATTACGGCACTTATTGCTACTGTACAATGTAACACTCACTTTTCACTCTTTATGTTATGAGTCCTATGTAATAGGGGGTGAGCATATTGCCATACATGTTTTTCTTAAAAACACAGTATGGTAAATGTGGGATCAACGCCTCAGTGGGATACTGTGGCGACACATGTCACAAATCAACGGATGACGTTACAAGAATCCTACATCGCACATGTAAAGTTTACAAGCGAATAAACATGGATAGAAACCCAATGAACAACTTTTGGGCAGAAAGCCCGCCAGGCACGATCACCTCGCCTGGTCGGAGGATCCTCCTTTTCCGATCTTAGGGAACTATACTCTCTGTTCCCTAAAATACTTACCTCATTAAACACTTAGCGACATGTAAAGGATTACCTTTGCTCGACCCGGGAATCGAACCCGAGACCCATTGCCCAGCAGTCGCACTTGCGATCATTCGGCCAATGAGGCAATCTGGTGCATCTAGTTTTTATTTCCCTATAGTTACTATCCATGTTTTCTGTTTACTAACGACCAAAAGTTAAATCCGGTCAGTCAGGTAGGTTATCTTAATTTATAATCAAATTCCTCCTGATTTCTCAGTTGCTTTGAAAATTTGTATAAAAAAATACATTTTAGCTGACTTCGTTAAAGGAGGAGAGTGTCATTTCTGCTCATTTTGTTTACCCATCGACTTTGATAAATTAGCCGGGTGAAAGATACTGTGAGTACTTTTTCGTGGAAATATCGTAAAAGAGCCACGTAACTGGGTGAAAGAAGTGTCGGTGTTTATAAATATTTATTACTTTTCTATCCTACCGAGTACCTACATGTTGAAGATAGCAATTTTTTAGCCGATGTGTCTTTTGTGATATTAATATTGTCACTCTATTTAATTATGTTGTATTGTATTTATTTAGTAGATAATTTTATAATTCTATTTGCTATATTCCTATTTCTATTATTGTCTTTACTTTCTGATAAAAGTTACTGGTCATTAGGTTACTGGTGCATATTGTGACACCTTAAAATGTAGTGCATTTAAAATTATTATTATGTAAGTGCTTTTTTTAAGGGGGGAAAATCATCGAATGACTGCTCCCGCCTGAGTGAGGCGGGAGGGAGTGTCAGACTCTTACTGACTAAAAACCACCCCGTTCCTTCTCCTGCACGTCGAGCTGGAGCCCCGGTTACCCGTTAGGTTCTCCGCGACTCATTATGTAAGTGCTTAGATGTAAGATCAACTACTGTTGTCCAAATTATAAATAAATAAATTATGAAATGTCTATTAATTATGTCTGCCTATTATTAATAATGATACTAGATACATTTTAAATATGGAAGGAAATTACTAGTATGATAGAATTTATAATTCTCATTAGCGGTTCTGATCCAGTCTGTAAGTCAGAAAAAATGGCCCTTAAAATGAGTGTTATTTTCAGCTGAGTACTTTGATTAAACGATAATTTATTTTTAATATTCTGTTTGTCTTACAATCGAATTAAACTTCGGTTTATTACAATCAAACTTCTTAATATACAGTCTAAGCTATAAAAAGTTTCATCATCACTATTGTCTCATCTCTAAACACATACCCTCTTATTAATAAACATAGATTTTTTTTTTTAAGGGGGGAAAGTCATCGAATGACTGCTCCCGCCGCCTGGGTGAGGCGGGAGGGAGTGTCAGACTCTTACTGACTAAAAACCACCCCGTTCCTTCTCCTGCACGTCGAGCCGGAGCCCCGGTTACCCGTTAGGTTCTCCGCGACAATAAACATAGATTAGGGTAAGAATAAATTTACTCCATGGTTTAAGCTCAGAATAGTCAAATTCGGTATTATTAAACAAGGAGTAACGTCGGAATATGCTATTCCAACCTTAGTCTGAGAGTAAAATTAGTCCATGATGCCACATGGATTAACGAAGACGAGTGTCATTTTGACATTTTGTTGATAGATAATAGGATTTGTGTACTTATCGCATGACTACTGAATTAATTTTTGATTTTGTTAAAGTTGCCTCGTTGGCCGAGTGGTCGCAAGTGCGACTGCCGGGCGAGGGGTCTCGGGTTCGATTCCCGGGTCGGGCAAAGTATTACTGGGTTTTTTAAAAAAAATCTCAGTAGTAGCACGTAGTCTGGAAATGTGCCCGGTATATGGCAATAGGCTCACCCCCTATTACATGGGACTCATAACATAAATAGTGAAAAGTGGGTGTTACCTCTGTGTGCACCTCTGCCTACCCCTTCGGGGATAAAAGGCGTGATGTTATGTTAAAGTTGCGATTTTTGTTTTTATAGATATACTATGAGGCATCAATAAGGTTGCATTTTATTTGTAACTCTTAACATAACCGACTCAGGGCCGATTTATCAGTTAATTCTTAACTGTAGAATAAAATTGACATTTGACAGTTTTTAGGATGGAAGCTCAATGTTATTCCTCAGTTAAAATTTATCTGGCGTTGGCAAAAATCGCCCTAAAAGTGTGTGGTTCTGATTTGTCCAGCACAAATTAGACCTTTACAGATAGTGCTCACTGCAAGAAATAGAAATATCTGTCTACACCTTTAAGAATAACAATTGATGACGTCATTTAATATACAATGTTATTTTGTTGTACCTATCACGTACCATAGAAACAGCAGTACATATATGTGTATCAGACTGCCTCGGTGGAGGTGACAAGGAGGCGTCGAATCGTAGATCCAGTTGCAGCATGAAGACTGCAGCACCAAGGGTTGTGATGGAGAGTGTGAGCTGAGCACTGGCCACGCCGATACATGTTGTGCTTCCGCATCTGTAAAGAAGCTTCATCTAGAATTTTCTAGAACATGAATAGTTTTTTAATGGCACAGAGGTATGTACATGCTGCTTATATAACTGGTTCTAACTCTCATATATGTTACTACTTTTACAATTTTCTGGACAATTATGACCTTAGTAATAACAATCATGAGGCAAACTAAAATTAACTAAAAATCGCGGGTTACTCACGTGAATATACTGAGAAAAGCTCTACTAGTTTCGAACCACGGAGGGGTTCTTCCTCAAGAGCAGCGTTCGCGTCGATATTCACATGAGTAACCCGTGATTTTAAGTTATTTATGACTTTGATTCCGTTGTAATGATAATGAGGCCTATTTACGACAGGCAATTCTTACAGGGACGTTATTATTGGACATTTTTTTCCTTAATAAAAACAACTCTTACCCGTATATATCTAAGCGGTCACCGGTGACCGCTTTCCACTGACTACATTATAGACCTCTAACACATCTAACATTAGAAATATAATGTTAGATGTGTTGTATCTTAGTGTCGTGGTGGCCCAAGGTTTTAGACGCCCACTTCTCATGCATGAGGGTGCGGGTTCGAAACCTACCAACGGCAAGTACCAATGTGACTTTTTCCGAGTTATATGTACTTTCTAAGATTATTTAGACACCACTGACAAACGGTGAAGGAAAAACATCGTGAGGAAACCTGGACTTATAATTTCTAATTATAAGTTTGAAATCGCCAACCCGCATTGAGCAAGCGTGGTGATTAATGCTCAAACCTTCTCCGTGTGAGAAGAGGCTTTGCTCAGCAGTGGGCATTTATAGGCTGATGATGATGATTTCTAATATTTAGAGACTACTTTTGTATGAACAAATTTAGGGGATGATTTTCAACATTTTTTAACAGGTTAAGTTTTTAGTAAAGCAATTTACTACAAAAGGATACCATTTGCAATCCTCAAGTACGCTTTTGTCCACTGCTTCTAAAGAATAATTATCACAAAGCGACGTTCTATAAACATTGAAGTTCATACAAAGCTTCATGCTAAAAACTTAATTTAAATTTTAACCAAAAAATGTATAAACATGTTTGTTCCTGGTATTTTTATTGAAACGTTTTCGTTATTAAAATTCATGCCGGGGTCACTGAAATGCCGTGGCTGGTAAATTACTTTTATGTAAGTAGCGGTGCATGAAATCATGTTTGCTTTTTGATGGGTTTATTGCTTTGGACACAGTACAGTAAAATGGGATATAAGCTTATTTCAAATAGTGTTACATTATCAAAGTCAGAGTCAAAATCATTTATTTCATTTAGACCAGGAAAGCACTTTTGAACGCCAAAACAAAATAGTTAAATATTAAATAATAAAAAAAAATGTCAGTCTGTAGGTCAGTCCTCTAGTGAAGCTATTTGCTCGTTCCAAAGTGTAGATTCCTATGGAGAAGAACGAGTAAGAAATTTCATAGGTTACTCTTTTTCAATCATGTTCACAATAGAATTTTTGGTTACATTCTTTTGTTGAATTCAATTATGTGAGAACAATGTAATACCAATATTTGGTCAAGGAGACGGAAAAAGAAAATAACCTTGACAACAAATTCAATACATAATATCAACCGCATCATCGTCTACAGAAGTACGTTTGCTAGTCTCCACACTTGACAGTATCTCTCCTCCAATCTCCATACTTGGTGGTTGGGTTGGAGATCGCAATATGTAATATTTCAGTTTATCAGAAAGCGCTACTTTTGGTCTCTATCATCGGTGGGTGCCCCTTAGCCTACAGAGAATAACATAGGTATATGATGCCATGTTTTTGTTTCATCCCAAAATATAACATGAAAATTCATTGTTAGTACAGTGGACCCTAAAAGCAATTTTTTTAAAGCATACACCGATAAACGAGCACACGGATCACCTGATGGTAAGTAATCGGCGCCGCCCATGGACACTCGAAACACCGTTACCGGCCTTTTGGGAATTGGGAATTTGAGGATTGTGGAGGATTCGGGGATTCGGAAGACGAGGACTAGGGAGGGGGGTAATTGGGCCTACGGTTTTAGAGCAATTTATTTTATTTTCCTTGTTACGAAGGCCTTTAGAGTTAATTTTTAGAATCACTCAGTTATTGACATTAAGTTTCCTGGTAACCAAAAATGGATCAAAAATGTCGTTAAAAGTAAAAATATCTACTCCTTTGTAATTTTTCTTCGGAAAATCTTACTTCACCTTCGAAGATTCTATAAGTAAACAGCCTATAAGTGGCCGTTGCTGACCATAGCCTCTTCTCACACGGAGAAGGTTTGAGCATTAATCACTAAGCTTGCTTAATGTGGGCTGGCGATTACAAACTTATAATTAAGTAGAAATTATAAGTTCAGGTTTCCTCTCGATGTCTTCCTTCACCGTTTGTCAGTAGGGTCTAAATGATCAAGTACGTATAACTCGTAAAAAGTCACATTGGTACTTGCCATTGGTAGATATTGAATCCGAACACTCATGCATGAGAAGCAGGCGTCTTAAACGTTTGGGTCGCATAAATGTGGGTCGCACTAACATAGGTCGATATGCTTCTGTGGCTAGAGCTATTAAAATAATTAACAGCGTTGGATAAAAGGTTGATATTTTCTGTTGCTTATTGGCGGAGTTCATAAAGGTGATGACACGACTGATGTTGTTAATTGTACATATGTATGTAGTGTGTTATAACAATGTTAAATAGAAGTTTTTATATTAAGTGACAAAATTATCGCATTGGGTGTAACATGTTAGGATGTGTTGATTTAAATAAACAAATATAAAAAAGAATCTTACCCAATATTCATCAACGATCTGATACAGAAAGCCAGCATAGCGATATGGGCTCCTATGGCAGCTGTCCAAAGCATTGTGAGTGGAACTGCAGCGCAGGGCGAAGGTCCAAGCGCTCTCCACGGAGCTCCCCAGTTCCTGGTCGATCTGGACCTGGCTGACACCCATCCACCAAACCCTCGGCTGTAGTATATTGATGTCGCTGTAATTTTATTATTGTTAGTGATGTTTGTAGCTAGTAAGACGGGGTTCTATTGAATTATATATCAACGAGAGCAGTTACATTAAAAATATGGTTAAAGTTCAAGTAGGGCCTTGCAATGCGACCTACGGTTCGTTAATATTTTGTAAATGTATAACTTTTTATTTTTTCGGTTAAATATGTTCGATGGCTGTTCCTGACGTCACATCGGCCTCACCACCATACGTGGCCCGCGACTGCTGCGATCGGCGGTCATTCATTCACTCGCTCGCCCGACACGACGCCGTGCGCACATATCGGTTGACGCTTACAATCAGTACCTATTTAAATACAGTCTTCTCATCATACCGAAGTCTTTTATTATTCAAGACCACCAGCAACACACCTGGAGCTTGATATTCAAACAATGGCCACTAGAAATGTAACTACTCATTGTTAGACAAAAATCCTCTATAACACGGAACCAGTGAAAGAAGTAGACGCAACCATCAATTGACATGATATATGGGTGATCAGGTTATGTTTTATATCTTTCTAAGTAGACAGATACATAGGGTTTGTAGGGCAATTATGATTTTTGAAACCAAGTGGTATTTTATTTTATCCTCAATAGCAAGCGTAAAATTTAGATACTTTATGTACGTTTTATGGTGCTAGGTTAGACTATGTTAGTTAGTCAGTTATCACAAAACAAATTGAACCAGAAACGACCAATAGAATGAAAAATAATTCGAAATCTGATATTAGGTGACCATTACGAAAGAAATCATTAAAAAAAATTAACTCGCAAACTACGCTAATTCGTAGAACATATATGGGGGTGATTTGGATACTCCTCATCATAAAGTAGCTACATGAATTTTAGGCTTGAACGTCAACTCCCCGGCCACTCTTTATAATAAAGGATACTAATGAACAGCCTCGCAGTATAAATGATCTCAAAAAAATGTGGGACTAACACAAAAGACTGGGAATAAAAGAACAAAAAGTATTAGATCTTTAATACATGAAGAAACACCAAGCTACAAAATACCAGTTTATCATAATCTCGCTTTGTATCATCTTTTCGCAGATTCAAAGCTCAGTTTATACTGGTTCTTTATAGCTTAATGTGTCGCCGTTTACACATTGTACCTACTCAGTACGCTGAAGAAGAAACTCACTTAATGTAATTAATTGTGTGACACAGTGGTTTTTATTCAATGTAAAATGAACAAACTTGATATTCGGTTTAGATGGGCTTGATTGAACGTAGTTAAAAAAAAAACGTAAAAGAGTACGTAAACGTAAAAGATATTTCATTCAAGTTTGTTACTTTGTTTACATTAAAACTTTCAGGTGACATACTAAATTAATTAAATTATGTTTTCGGCTTATTCACGTAACTTTTTGACGAAGTACTCGACTAGTTTCAAGCCATGCTAGAGGCTAATATTCACTTCCTCTACCTCTTCCTGTTTTATCAACGCAACCTATTGGTTTTTAGCACACTATGTAGTTGAGAGTACAGAAAAGGACACAGTCTGATTCACATAACCAAACCCTTGTTTTGCCTAGATATCAAAAATTATGACATTAAATAAATAAAATTACCTAAATCGCCTAAATTCCTACACACATAAAGTCAAGGATACACTACATGTGTTGCCAACGACGTTGGGTGAATTAGTACGACGTTGCCCGACTTCGGTCGACATGTCTGGCAACGTACTTCTTCATCCACCTGTGCACGACATTTGTCCAGTGTTGCACGACATTTGTCCAGTGTTGCACGACATTTATCTAGTGTTGCTCGACATTTGACCATTGTTGCACGACATTTATCTAGTGTTGCACGACATTTGTCTCTTAGTGTATCCTTGGCTTAGGGCTCGTACACAAAACTGCGATGCGATGCGAATTCGCAACACAAAACATTTTTTTTTTTTTTAAGGGGGGAAAATCATCGAATGACTGCTCCCGCCTGGGTGAGGCGGAAGGGAGTGTCAGACTCTTACTGACTAAAAACCACCCCGTTCCTTCTCCTGCACGTCGAGCCGGAGCCCCGGTTACCCGTTAGGTTCTCCGCGACTCCGAATCGGCATCGGCCCTATTGGGCCCCATCTGTGGTGGTCTGATGGCTCTTTGAGGCGCGCGCGGAACGCGACGCGCCGTACGCTCGGGTCTGTTTCTGGTCGGACGGGGAGCCACCCATGCTCGCCGTCCGCAGGCCCGCGCTTACGGTGGCCGGAGATCGTCCCGCGATCCCCGACGCCCGGTGTGTCCTTCGCGATGGCTGGGTTGCGAGGAGGCAGCGCTTCGCTGCCTCACGCGTCCCGCCTCCTCCTTAGCTAGCATGACTGCTTCGCAAAAGGAGGAGACGGCATCCCAGTCCCCCTCGCTCCGCATCATGGCCTGCACTAGGCCCGGACGCGAGAGGTCGCCATCGCCGATCACTTCCCTGAGGGCACGGCGGTGCTCAGCCCACGCAGGGCATTCCGCACGTGTGTTCCACCGTGTCCTCAGGGCGGTCCTCGCAGTGATGACACCCGGGCGTTTCCTCCCGCCCCATCAGACACAGGTACCTCCCGAAACTTCCATGTCCGGTGAGGACCTGCGTCAGGCGGTAGGTGAGGACGCCGTAGCGTCTCTCAAGCCACTCCTCAAAGAGGGGACTTACCGCTGCAATGGCAGCGAGCCCAGCCCTCGGTTGCGACAGTCGTTGCTGCCATTCCGCCATGAGATCGCGCCGGAGCTCATCCCGCCACGCACTTATCTGGCGCGGCAGCGGAGTTTCGCCCCGGCGACGTGCCTCCGCGCGCATGCGATACACGCGCGCGAGCACCTTCGCCTCCAGATCCCACGGCGGTAATCCGGCAAGGAGGTTCGCCGACTCCCCAGAGATCGTGCGGTATCCGCGGATCATTCGGATCGCCATGACCCTCTGTGCCATGAGCAGCGTCCGAGCGGGCCGCCGCAACAGGTTAGGCGCCCAAACAGGGGCGCCGTAGAGGGCCATGGACCGCACGACCCCGGCGTATAACCTCCGGCAGGAGGCGTTTGGCCCCCCGAGGTTGGGGAGGATGCGCTTAAACGCAGCCCCCACCCTCCAACTTTGGAGCCAAACGTCGGAAGTGCTCACGAAGTTCCCGACTGTCGAGGACGAGTCCAGGTACTTCATCGCCGTCTCGACGCCGATGGTAACCCCTCCCGCCATTATTTGGGACCCACCGGAGGTGGCGCGTTCCCGCGGCCATGAAAACACATGGCCTCGGACTTGTGGAGCGCCACCTCGAGTCCCAACTGCCGGATTCTTCAACGACTGTCGCAACCGCTGTCGCCATTAAGTCGGCCGCCGCCTGGTGCGACCTCCCGTGCGCTAGCACCAGCGTGTCGTCGGCGTAGCATATGTGCTAACGCCGTTCGGGAGGTCGGTGCGCAGCACCCAGTCATAGCCGATGTTCCACAGGAGCGGCCCCAGAACCGAACCCTGTGGAACACCGCGTGACATCTCTCGCCGGTTCCACTCGCCCCGGTGACCGGGGTAGCTGACGGACCTGTCCGTCAGGTAAGCCTCGATTACACGACGGAGGTAGGTAGGCACCCGATGATATCGGAGTGCCTCCAAGATGCAGCTCCAGGGCAGGGAGTTGAAGGCGTTGGCGATGTCCAGAGACACCGCCACTACGACCTTACCCCTGGACACTGCAGTCCCCGTCGTGAGGTCCTAACGCGCATGATGGCGTCCACCGTGGAGCGCCCTCTGCGGAAGCCGAACTGGCCGTCCGAAGTCCGGCCCAATGTCCGTCAGGTGCGCGACGAGGCGGTTCGAAATGATTCTTTCGAAGACTTTCCCCACCTCGTCGAGCAGCACTATGGGCCGGTACGCGGACGGAGAGTCCGCAGGGCGCCCCGTCTTCCGCACGAGGACCAGTTTTCCCGCTTTCCAGAGAAGCGGGAACTGGCCTCTCTCCAGCATGCGCTGTAGAGACCAATCAATCGAGGCCCGAGAGCCTCTGAGGCCAGGACCCATGCCTTGCCATGCAGCCGTCGGGTCCTGGGGCGGTGTTCTTGGCGCCCATCCGGCGCACCGCCGCTCTCATTCTGCCTCGGTCACCTCTGGGACGATGTCGTCGTCGTCGTCGCTGTAGCCCGCGTCGGGCACCGCAGGGGGCGGAGTCATATACGGAGGGGTGAAGCCCCTCCACAGTCGGGGGAACAGGGCGCCAATCACCTCCTCCAAGACTCTGGCCGGAGACTCTGAGTGAGCGGGGGAGCCCAAGCGCGAGCTTGTCGCGTACCATCGGTACGGGCGTCCCCACGGGTCTCTATTCAGAGTCCCCAGCATCTCTCGGCGGGCCTCCTCCTTGGCCCGCAATATCTCCGCCTTGAGGAGGGCCTTCGCCGCCCTGTATCCCTCGTACAACTCCGCCTCTCTCGCCTCCGCATTGGAGGACGGAGATCGGCGCCTGCGGTGCCTAGTGTACTGGCGTCGCGCAGCAGTGCACGCCTTGCGTAGAGCTGCCAGCTCTTGCGACCACCAGTACACCTGGCGCTTTTGTTGCCTCGACCGGATCCGGGGCATCGCCACGTCACAGATCCTGGACATGGCGTCCTGGAGCCACTTGGCCTCATCGTCAATGTCGGCAGGCCTGACCGGTGGTATCACCCAGGCCTGCACGATGGCGGCTTCCAGGAGCAGCTCCCGGTCCAGCTGTTTCAGCGCCCAACGCGGGCCACATGGGGCCTGTCTGACCGGCGGGTCTGCGGACTCGGCGGAGACGTCGAACCGGATATACCGGTGGTCGGAGTACGTCTCCACCTCCTCCATGACACGCCAGCCAACAATACGCGGTGACAGAGCAGGGCTGGCGAACGAAATGTCCACCACCGACTCGCCCTGCATCCGCACACACGTGGGGACAGAACCCCGGTTCAGGACGACTAGGCCTGCCTCAAGGGCCCAGTCTTCCACCATCCTACCCCGGACGTCGGTGAACCGGGAACCCCAAGCCAATTTTGGCATTGAAGTCCCCGAGGACGAGCACGGGGAGGGAACGGAACCCGACGACGACAGTGACCAACTCCTCAAGGAGTTGTGGAACTCGGCGAGAGTTCGGTTCGGAGAGAAGTACACGCCCACCACAGCGAGCTCTCCGAACCGTGCTGCGACACAACCCCGGCCTCTTTGAGCCCTCAAGAGTCGGGGTACCGGCGGCGGCCGACGAGATGATGGTCACCGAGCCGTCCAGGTCCGCCACCCAGTGATCCCTGGGCGGGACAAAGTACGGCTCGGAGACCACGGCGACATTGATCGACCACTGCGCCATGCTCTGGAGCAGGAGATCCTGAGCAGCGGCGCAGTGGTTGATGTTCGCCTGGAGGAGGCGGAATGGAGCCATTATTGACAGTCCATTCCGACCTCCTCAGTGGCGGCAGCGGCGACTGCGGTGGCAGTGGGCGGCGGCGGCGGGGAAACGGCAGGGGTGGCGGAGGGCCTACCTTTGCCCTTGGGTTTGGCAGGAGGGGAGCAGCCCTTGCTCCCGACCCGGTGATTGGCCGGCTTGCCAGCCGCCGCACATGCGTTGCAGTGCAGCGGGGCAGTGAACACAAAACATTACGATACGAATTTGTAATTCGCTGCTGCGATGTAATTTCGTGCGACAAGGCGTCTCCCAGGGTGACCGTTCGTTCGGCAACCGTCAACCGTACTAAACGCATTTTAAATTGAAAACTAGGGCGTGACATGGATCGTAAAAAAGTGTGCACTTCTGTTACTGCTTAGGAGATACAGGAAAAAGAAACAAAGAAGATTTTGGGAAGATAAGATTTTGATGCGCGATGCGAATCAATTCCCTAGTTCTTGCGATGCGTAGAGAGAGCTCGCACATTTATGCGACGTCGTATCACAGTTTTTTGTTATCATCAACAGCCTACAAATGCCCACTGCTGAGCAAAGCCTCTTCTCACACGGAGAAGGTTTGAGCATTAATCACCACGCTTGCTCAATGCGGGTTGGTGATTTCACACTTATAATTAGAAATTATAAGCCTAGGTTTCCTTCACCGTTTGTCAGTGGTGTCTGAATAATCTTAGAAAGTACATATAACTCGGAAAAAGTCACATTGGTACTTGCTGTTGGTAGGTTTCGAACCCGCACCCTCATGCATGAAAAGTGGGCGTATTAAACCTCCGGGCCATTTCTGTGCAGTTTTGTGTACGAGACCTTAATTCACACGATGCCCATTAACAAAATGAATGCTGAAATTTAAATTTAAATAACAATAAATTTAATTTCAACTTTAGCGCTTAAAGTTAGTGTGACTACGAAATTCACAACACACCCACTCTCACAGTCTCACGTTCACCCCGAGATTCGCTAATTACTTATAATAAATTGCATCTGTTACACTTTGAATACAAAATATAGTAATTTGCTTATAATTGCTCTTTTAATATGAGCTTAATTAACTTCTAACTAGGTACTTGCTTATGTAAATACTGCATAATTATTTGGTAGGTTCAATTTAGACTGTAACTTGTTTGGTTTAAAGTTCAATATTAGGTATTATATTTTGAAAACGTCTTTCTAACCCTTTGTTATTTCTTTGACTGACTTTAAAGGGTGTTATGAAACCTATTCGAGAATAACTTCAGAACCGAAAACTAACAATAACACAAAATTAATCAAACTAAATATTACAAACTTCTTAGTCGTAATGTTTTCGTCTGTAACTTAGTAAAACCGGTTTTTACTTGCTTATTAAAGTTTGGCTGCCTCGTTGGCCAAGTTGTTGCAAGTGCGACTGCTAGGCAATGGGTCTCGGGTTCGATTCCCGAGTCGGGCAAAGTATTACTGGTTTTTTTTTAATTCTCAGTAATAGCACGAAGTCTGGAATGGTCCCGAAAAAGAAATATTGATCACCACTATTGTCCACGATTTTGATTCTTCAATATGAAATTATAAGACAAGTCTTTTTTTTAGGGACAAGCCCGCCACAGCCTTCCAAAACCGCTGCAACTCCTGTAAGCCAGGATCTACAGTAGATACAACCATGAAAACACCGGAACACTGAAGTCCGGCGCGTCCCAGGGAAGTTACTGTCTTGGCTCCCGCAACGAAGTAAATCAGAAGATATTATAAGAGGAGAAGAAGAAAAAACTATAGTTTCCACTTCCCTCGGTGAATTACTGCAGGAGACAGAATGAATTAAGCCTAAAGGCACAAAGAAGAGACTGTACAACTGGGTGAAGCCCAGTCGCCAAGCACCACGGAAATTTGACTAAGTGGGTCCTATGTGTGAGCTGTTATACTTGCTTCCAATAATAGGTATGGCAAATATAAGACATGTCTATGCAGATACCAGACCTCGAACCCTTCATGTAAAAATATAGATAATTCTCCAATATTACATTACCTGCAGCCAACACTGTGATCGCCCCAGCAGGGACTCCAAGACCCAGAGCTGGTTTCTGCCTCTCCTCCAACCATCCAACGGCTCCCAGAACTAAGCCGCCGATACCGCACACAATCTGCCATAAGAGAATATGCTATTAGCTTGTAGTCCTCTCAAGTTCTGAATAATTCATTTTGAACCGCATTGTAGGCTGTAAGCCACTAATCCATTATGGAATGTCAACATTAAAATTTATATGAATGACTATAGAACTATATAACATAACAGCACACCTTTTTCCCGTAAGGAGTAGGCAGAGGTGTACATTACGGCACTTAATGCCGCATTGTAACACTCATTTTAAACTATTTATGTTACGAGTCCCATGTAACAGGGGGTGAGCCTATTGCCATATACCGGGCACATACTCCGTGCTACTACTGAAGTTTTTAAACAAAACCCATTAATTCTTTACCCGACCTGAGAATCGAACCCGAGACCCCTTGCCCAGCAGTCGCACTTTCGACCACTCGGCCCATGAGGCAGTCACTATATGAAGTGGTTATTATGCTATTTAAAACCATTAAAATGGGAGTAGTAATGGGTTTTTATAATAACTATCGTGAGAAATACTAAATTAACTAAAATTACTGGTTACTCACGTGAAAATACTGAGAAAAGCTCTACTACTTTCGAACCACAGAGGGGTTCTTCTTCAGACAGTTTAAGGCGCGTTATTCCGTTTTTAAATTACGAACTTTTTAGTATTTATTTATAGTTTTAATTTGAGGTCTTTAATTTGAGCACTCAGAAGCTAAGTGGGATACCTAACGCAAATAATGTTTCAAGAGTATTACCTATCCGATTCAAGCATCGTAACTTACAGAAACATTATAAAGAATATCTTCGCCATCTAAAGATCACCTAACAACAATATTTAAGCCTGATAAAAATAATTAAAGTGTCTCCTGAACCGTCTTTTGAGGATGACAGGCCATTTTCGTGTCACTCTTTAGGACGAACTTCATGTTCTGTTGCTGGGTAGAAACTGCCTTGTATCATGGTTAGGAACTTTAATATGATGTTTAGAGTAATTTGTCAATCAAAGATCGTTATACTTTGACTTTGATGATACACTATAATCAAATTGTATTATCAATTAATCAGTGTTTTCTTGGTACGTCGATTTGTCATATGAGTTCTTAATTCCGTCCACGTGTAAGTGAAATATTGTAATTTTTATGGAAATATACGCATCTCGAACATTTTTTTTTACCACGACGGTGGCAAAAAAGCACACGGCCCACCTGATGGTAAGCGGTTACCGTGGCCTATGTACGCCTGCAACACTTGGGGCATTTCATGCGTCTTGCCAACCCTTAAAAAACCTATTCACTCCCCTCTTGAAGAACCCCATATCTATATATATACCCCATATATACACTTACATAATAACCCCATGTAGCTACTAAAGGCTATTTTTTCCGATGCAAAATATTGTGAGACCCTCTGAACTAAGTAAAATACAAAAGCTATGAACTTTGTGACATAGCAGGAGGAGTGAGGATATCGCCGACGCCGGTCAGCTCCCTCCCGCTGCGCGTATGAAATTCAAAGATTCCAACAATGCTAAAGAATTCGATTTTATTTTTTACTTCTTTTTTATCTGCTGGATAGTTTCGTTGAAGTAGCTGGCAGCTTTGGCGAGGCGAGCGAGTTTGAATCTATGTTTACGTTTTTAATTTAAAAAAAGTCTATTTTAAAACTCTATTTTTGTCGACATCATAATTCATAGCATAATGAGGTTTTTTTATCAAAATTAGTTCATCTGTCACCATAATAAAACTTAGCAACAATTAGAATTTTGTCGAGTTACGCGACCATATTCGAGCGATCATATTCTGACCTGGAACAAAGACATAAATGAATGCATATCTTTACTGACTGACTGACTTGACAGCCTCGTTGGCCGAGTGGTCGCAAGTGCGACTGCCGGGCGAGGGGTCTCGGGATTAATTCCCGGGTAAGTACTGGGTTTTTAAAAAAAATGTCAGCGGTAGCACGGAGTTTGGAATTGTGCTCGGAATATAGCAATAAGCTCACCCTCCTATTACATGGAACTTATTACGTACCTAAATAGTGAAAAGTGGGTGTTACATTTTACATTGTACAGTGGCATTACCTCTAGATAAGTGCTGTAATATGCACCTCTGCCCACTCCTTCAGAGATAAAAGGCGGCCTTTCGATCGGAATTGATTCAAACACTATCATACTTTCATTCCTAATAAAAACTTTAAAATCTTCATTTTCAAATACATTGAAATTATTTATAGGGCTTTAATCACGAGGAACTAATGTGACCACAGCTTTCAACGTCATATTATTGCAGTTAAATGGTTTCAATAACATACATAGCTTTAGAATGGCTCATCAAGCTACGATATACCAGTATAAATTGACCGTAGAATGTGCGAAAAGATCATAGAAAGTGAGACTTTGATAAACTGGTTTAGTATAGCTCTACCCGGCATGTGTACAAATACATGTGTATGCGATAAAATTGAAACCTGCCACATTAGACCGCAGTAGTGGTTAGGAAATCTCTGTCAGTATTTCAGTATGTTCTCGTTCATAAAAACGACATGATTTTAAATAATTTTTCTAACAAAAGGCTCGCACATAAGACTGCGATGCGACGTCGTATCGCAAAAAATGTGCGAGTTACCTCTACGCATCGCAAGAACTTGCGAATTGATTCGCATCGCGCATCAAAATCTTATCTTTCCAAAATCTTCTTTGTTTCTTTTTCCTGTATCTCTTAATCAATAACAGAAGTGCACACTTCTTTTTTCGATTCATGTCGCCACCTAGTTTTCAATTTAATATACGTTTAGTACGGTTGACGGTCGTCGAAGGTATGGTCACCCTGGGAGACCTTGTCGCACGAAATCGTATCGCAGCAATTCGCATCGTAATTTTTTGCGTCGCATGCATAGCATCGCAGTTTTGTGTGAGAGCCCTAAGCTGTATGTCAGAACATAATTTTAGTGTTTCCACGTAGGGTAGCAGGTAATTCAGTTGTGGTTGTTAAATTGTCTGATTATGGTTAGGGGTTTGTGCATTTTAAAATTAAGATGAAAATAATTTATTTGGGGTAAGTCTGGGTGCTACTTCTACTTTTAGGAGAATTTCTTTCATAATAGCATTTTTTTCAGTAATATCGGGAAGTCTAATGTTATGCTAGGTGTATGCATTAACCTTAGTTCAAAACCTACATTTTTTTATATTTGATGGTCCGACGTTTGAATACTATCTCGCCTGGTGGTAACCTATGAACATGAACATTTACACATAAGTACATAAGTATAGAGGGTGATTTCAACCGAACCAAAATATGACGTCATTACCTACTAAACTAGGTCTGGTACCGTATTCATTAGTGAAAAATGAAAAGTTAGCACTTTTAGTTACAACCTGTACCTAGTTACACGAAATTTTACCGAGCCACATTTTATGTTTTAACACACTTTTTTAAGCGACTTTTGTAGGCGAAAAATGATAATTTAGAACTTTTATGTAGACAAAATTGATGAATTTGAGTTTTCGAGGTCTTTTTTGAGTACTGAAAAAAAAACAAAGGTATCTAGAAATGTTGTTATTCTGAAGTATATTTTATTTGTTTATCTAATGGGGATGATGAAAGGGTATGAAAATTAAAAATATAATTAGTCCGTAAGTTAGGTAATTAAAAAAATATTAGACACGTATTTTTTTTATTTTGTCGTATAATAAAACAATAGGTACTTAGGCCGGTCCGACCGGAACCGGAATGATACCACAGCGTCACAGAAAACCGACGTGAAACAACAACGACGTGGCTTGCGTTGTGTTTCGTCGTATGAGAGAGGTTACCGGAGGCTCAATTACCCCCCGCCCTCCTTCCCAATCCCTGAATCCCCGACAATCCTCAAATTCCTAACACCCAAACGGCCGGTAACGCACTTGTAACGCCTCTAGTGTACCAGGTGTCCATGGGCGACGCCGATTGCTTAGCATCAAGTGATTCGTTTGGTCGTTTACTGACTTATCCCATAAAAATGTATTGTTCAGCAGCTGACTATTGGTATCTGATGATGATAGTAATAATCAGGGACACGGTAACACAAATGTAGTTTCCTAGTTCAAACCGTGATGAGATGCTATAAGACAATCAAACATAGACATCGTGATAAGTAGTTACGATCAATGCAAATAAATTGATCTCAGTAATCTTGTATCTGTCTAAGAAGTTACATGACCTCAATACACCTGTTATTTCCCAAGGGCGAATGCTAATCCCAATTGGAATATGGAATAAAATATTCGCAAAGGCAGTTAAAGGTAGTTATTTCTGGTTAAATCAGTTGTTTCTGGCTATTAACAAACATAGAGTTAATTTAAGAGTATACAAGGTGTTGTTTTAAAGCCGCGACATTTTCTAAGAGGTAACCCTTCTTATCGATTCTGAGTCCAAATCTATAAAAAAAAATGCATTTTTTTGTAAATTACGGAAATTCGTAGGTGCGAACTATACGCCGCCGTCTTGTAAGTAGCTTTATAACGCGGCTTAACACACACAAACTCAAACACGTAATTGGTATTATTCCTAATTCCATAAAACTCCAATAAGAAACATTGCTGTCGCTTATTCTGAAATACTGTCGAACTTAAACGATTTATTATAGCCGTATTGGCTCGAAACTTTCACTTACATTGAACCTTTATGACTTTTGTGACATGCACCCGAGAAATGTCAAAACTACACCTTGTATTGTTGAAAATTGTTGTTTGATGGATTGTTACTTTGTTAGTACTCCTTAGATACTATACAATCTTGAGATCTACAACATTGAGGCAGCACTTTTGAATATTGCAAATATGAGTATTGATAAACAAAATTACAATCACACCCAACACTACAGCTTGTTCATAATCTACTAAGCTTTAATATAGCTACTTCCCTTTACTGCTGTATAACCCATATGTAAATTATTCACCAATTACTTAAGCAAAGCATCCTTGTACCTAAAGATAAATCTACGTACAAAATTAGTATGTAAAAGATGTCACGAAGGCAGGATTACGTCTGGTTTATCTCCGTTGTAAGTTAAGGCTTAAACCCTATGTTTGGAGGCGTAAGCAAAAATTGGAACCTCGGTACTTCAGGAGTAATTGTAAATTATAATTTGTAACGTTTGGGAGAATTGGAGCTTCCTTTTGTAGGAAGTTATGAGGTTTAAAATGTTTCATGATGGGCATCCATAATATTATATGACTTTTAGGTGATACCGAGTTTTGTAAGACCTACCTGTTTTTATTAACTGGCGAAATATTATGCTTGTGATCCTACCATGAATCTTACGGTTGGCAGACGGTTTGGAGAATACAATTTGGCTGCATGGTTGGTGCGGTGGTTGGGCAACTGACTGCCGCGCAACGTGTCGCGGGTTCGATTCCCGCACGGAACAACTCTTTGTGTGATCCACAGATTGCTGTTCTGGGTCTGGGTGTAATGTGTATGTGAACTTGTATGTTTGTAAATACACCCACGACACAGGAGAAAATCCTAATGTGGTGAGTAATGTAGCTCTAAGGAAACATGGTCCCAATTTTAGGGCTTTCCCGTAGAAAGTGGATTGTGAAATATAATTTGTGCACGGGAAATAAAAAATATCATATATGTGTACGTTATACTACTTATGAAACATTTTCAATGTAATATATAAAGTGTCCTTTTTCTATTACAATTCTTAGACATCTTTATTTGTTTAGGAAGAATAACTGTTAGATATTTATCTTGGTTGTCATTACAAAGACCCGGTCAACTCAAACAAGGGTCCCCGACAGTAACAAATTGATGGTGCCTCAATTCAGGGATAAAACGACGAAGGAAATGTACTTGTATTAAGTATTTATTTGGTGGGACTTTGTTGGTTGTCTTAATGCGATTGTGGTACATGAAGCTTCAGGTTCGAAGTGAAGATTATTTAAAGTATTGTTAACTCTTCATTCCATTATTTATTCCTGATGAATGATGTCAAAAAGAAGACTTGATTGTTTAACTTTTATTAATAAGGCCCTTTCCCCAATCCCTGAATCCCCAACAATCCTTAATTTCCTAATCCAGAAGGCCGGTAACGCACTTGTAATGCCTCTGGTGTTGCGTGTGTTCATGGGCGACGCCGATTGCTTACCATCAGGTGATCCGTTTGCTCGTAAACCGGCTTATCCCATTAAAAAATGACTCTTATCCCAATATTCCCACAGGACTGGGACTCTTTTAGATTCCATTTACGTTAGCGGAATCCCAGGCAGAAAGTCTAATACGTTGGTACACTTCTGTTTCATACCTTAACTCGTTGAGTACTGTCATTATAGACACAATTAAAGAACAATAGGTTGCGGTCACCGGTGACCGCTCGGTGTTTGACAGTTTAAACGTTATCCCACATCTAAAAAGCTCGGCTCCGGCACAGTGTTGTCCCAAATTTGCCAGCGGCACGCTTCCACATCGAGACCGGTGCGCTTACAACTAGCGGGCGGTGCGCCGTCGCCCGTAAGCGCGCGGCCCGCACGATGGAAGCGCGCATCGGGCGCCTCAAAACCACAACTCGAAAGGACCGCGCGCTGACCACCCGCTGTCGGCTTTTTGTATTGACGATATGAAATATATCAAACGATATACGATTTAAAGCTCATATTATACTCAAATAATGCCTTGTTGGCCCAGTGGTCGTAAGTGCGACTGCCGAGCAAGGGGTCTCGGGTTCGATTCCCGAGTCGGGCAAAGTATTACTGGATTTTTTAAATATTCTCAGTAGTAGCACGGAGTCCGTTGTTGTGCCCGGTATATGGCAATAGGCTCACCCCCTATTACATGGTACTCGTAACTTATATAGTGAAAAGTGGGTGTTACATTGTACAGTGGTATAATGTGCACCTCTGCCTACCCCTTCGGGGATAAAAGGCGTGATGTTATGTGTCCTCAAATAAGAAGTTAATTGCTGCGTTGGAGCTTAGGTGTGCGATGACTTTAACACTAAAACACGAGGTCTTTAAATATTGTTACCGGCCTTTGTTTATTTTTATCAATGAAGCTTTTGTCGGTTTAAATGAACTCTCCCTGGAGACTATCGCGATCAGATTCAAATATTTATTTAGGACCAAATCGTAATATTTTGATCGATAGACAGTGATTATTTCGCTTCGAACAGAATCTGTTCAAATGATATTAATTTGAGTCGAAATTTTTACTTAGTATTGGATTTCTATAATAAGATGGTTATTATTGAGTTTTTCAATATCGCTACTTTTTGTTAACTGAATTGTTTTTCCAATTCTCTCATGTTACGTAAGAGATAGGACATTAGGGTTTTTTTGCGTCTTACTTTTCTCAACGACATATTTGCTGGAAACAGATGTATCAACATCAACAGCTTATAAGTGGCTACTGCTGACCCTTTGGTCACAGCCTTTGCCTCTTCTCACACGGAGAAGTTTTGAGCATTAATCGCCACACTTGCCCAATGCGATATATAAGAAATTATAAGCTAACGTTTCCTCATAATGTTTTCCTTCACCGTTTGTCGGAAAAAGTCACATAGGTACTTGCCGTTGGTAGGTTTCGAACTGGCACCCTCATGCATGAGAACCGGGCGTCTTAAATCTCCGGGCCACCACGACTCATACACAGAAACAAAAATGTAGTATGAAAGATACAAAAAATCCGCGAAATATGATAAAAAGGTGGAACTAAACAGTAAGTAGATAATCCTAGGTTTTTATGTTATGAAGAGCGTGACAACTGATCTTCATCTTGACTGAGTGAGGTGTCTTTCTCCACCTTAGAAAAAGCCACCTTTAACCCGTCGTGTGTCTAAACGTGGATCCACGCGAGACAATGTATTTTCTATTGTGTCTCATATACGCGCATTCAAGCGGTTAAAAGAAGGCTCCCCGTCCGACCAGAAACAGACCCGAGCGTACGGCGCGTCACGTTCCGCGCGCGCCTCAAAGAGCCATCAGACCACCACAGATGGGGCCCAATAGGGCCGATGCCGATTCGGAGCCGCGGAGAACCTAACGGATAACCGGGGCTCCGGCTCGACGTGCAGGAGAAGGAACGGGGTGGTTTTTAGTCAGTAAGAGTCTGACACTCCCTCCCGCCTCACCCAGGCAGGAGCAGTCATTCGATGATTTTCCCCCCTTATAATAAAAAGCGGTTAAAAGAAAATGTCCACGTCACTAGTTGCGTCTCACATAGTCTTAATTACCTAATCACCAAAGGTATAACAGTTCAAGCCAAGTGTTCACAATTGCCCTCAGGTCGCCATTAGGACACTCCCAGCAATTAACTTAGACCGTCTAAGCGTATAATGTGATTAGAACCGACTGGCCGAAGTTAGGAGTGTCGCATTATCCGATTAGGTACCTAATCAATCAGTGAGATGAAGCTCACGGAACAATTTCTTATGTTATGATATTAATAAGTTCGTGAAGTAAAAATTAGGTCGTAAGTACAATAAGTAGCTTGAGGACCTGAAGTGACTGTATCCAATTGGAGAAATTAGAACGGGGTTTTGAGTTTAGAAGCATACTTACAGAACATTCAATTGAATATTTAGATGTATGTACCTAGACATTTTCAATTGTAGCCCGGGGTGGTTGGAATCGGTGAAGGCGTTTAGCGATAGTTTTAACTCTTGTCAGTCAGTCAGTCTGTATCACTAAACGGTGAGTCAGTGTATTGTTTGTGCCTTTTAGGCTTTAGGGACTCATATTTATAATAATGTTAAATATGTCACAGATTTGTAACTTCTTGACCACTCTTTAAACATACCCAAACTTATAAAAATATATTTTACGATATAATTAATATAAGGTCTAAATTCCTAAACCTTACCTGTAGCACTCTGACTCTCAGAGCTATAGCAAATGGGTAGAGTTGCACTCCATTCCCGGGCAAATCCACTTCATCTCCTCTCGACACACCACTCACTGCACTGCAAACTGACTGCTTTCGCGACCACATAGCCGCTTTTGCGTGGAGCACTGTGGACAAGCAAAAGCAATATAAATTGCGTTACCGGCCTTTCGGGGATTGTGGGGGATTCAGGGATTGGGCAGATTGGGCGGGGGGGTTATTGGCCTCCGGTAAGCTCACTCACAAGACGAAACACAACGCCAGCGTTATTTCACGTCGGTTTTCTGTAAGGCCGTGATATCATTCCGGTCGAGATGGGCCATTCGTGCTGAAGCATTGCTCTCCCACCCTTAACTAACTTCTATCCACTGCCTGTCCCGTCAAATCTTATTCTTTGATCATACTATCTGCTAAAATGCCAAATAAACTACTTGTACCAAAATGTAATTCTTTTCAATCGGTTTCACAATTTGAGCTACATTATTTTAACAGCTCCGAGAGAACAATGTAACAAGGGTGCCTTCAAGGCCTCAGTGAATGGGTTGCTTATAGAACGACGTGGTCCATCGTAGACCGCATCATCGCTTACCATAAGGCGAGATAGTGGTAAAACGTCGACCCATTAAATATAAAAAAAATATATCAATATTCACCTATGCCTTCTATACCATTTTTATTTTGAATATACATAGAACAGATAGGTACTTATGAGATACTTTCTATCATATCTGGAAGCGCATAAACATAATGTCCTGTGTTATCAAAAGGTTATCAGATTTCGGTAACAAAACACGCATAATAACAAAAGCATGCACGTAGATATAGGTACAGTTAAATAACCACTGCATACCGTATTTACGTGCGAATTAAAAAATAATACAACATTGTATACTTTCTGTATAATAACTATTGTGACTCATTTTAAATTATTCTCATATATCTCAATCAAAATCAAGGTCAAAATAATAGGTTTTAAAAAATTCTCAGTAGTAGCACGGAGTCTGGAATTGTGCTTGGTATATGGCAATAGGCTCACCCCCTATTACATGTGACTCATAACATAAGTAGTGAAAAGTGGGTGTTACATTGTACAATGGCATAATGTGCACCTCTGCTTACTCCTTCGGAGATAAAAGGTGATGTTATGTCAATTGAGACGTTTCATTATGAAAGTAATGATTCGTCTACAGAACTAAAATATGTAAAACATTTCTTTTATTTTATCTCATTTGATACAGCAATTTTGGCAAAACATCTGTAGGTGATGCAAATAAATGCATTTTTTTATGGAGGGAAAATCATCGAATGGCTGCTCCCGCCTGAGTGAGCCGGAAGGGAGTGTCAGACTCTTACTGACTAAAAACCACCCCGTTCCTTCTCCTGCACGTCGAGCCGGAGCCCCGGTAACCCGTTAGGTTCTCCGCGACAAATGAATGTATATTAATGACAGGAAGAGAGCTGAAATTGTGAAGAATTTGTACATACATAGTACAAATATGTTCACAAATATTTATGTACGTTATTTCACACATTACAACAGCGATGCTCGCGTGGGCGTCTAATCTGACTTATCAACGAAAGCTTCATAAATATTCGATGAAGGATTGTGAAAAGTGAGATAAACATTTTCATTATCGTATGTAAACAGGTTTTTCACAGATTGTCTAGTTACCCGCGTGAAGTATTTTGTTGATATTTTTATTCATCATCGTTAAAAATATTTCAATAATCCAAAATATCCGAATTATGTATCTTTTTTTCCTCAACAGCTTATAAGGCCGGCAACGCACCTGTGACTCCTCTGGTGTTGAGCGTGTCCATGGGCGGCGCTGATCGCTTACCACAAGGTGATCCGTCTGCTCGTTTGCCTCCTATTCCATAAAAAAAAGTGGCGACTGTTGGCCAAAGGCATCTTCTCGCATGGAGAAGATTTTGAGCTTTAATCACCACGCTTGCTCAATGCGGGTTGGCGATCGATTTAAACCTTATAATTAGAAATCATCGTGAGGAACCATCGTGTTTCCTTCACCATCCACCACCTTCGTCGACGTTTTCCTTCAACATTTATCTATTAATCTTAGAAAGTGCATAAACTTTAAAAAGTCACATTGGTACTTGCCATTGGTAGGTTTCCAATCCGCATTCTCATGCATGAGAACCGGGGCGTCTTAGACCTCAGGACCAACGATATTTACACATGGTTCACCATATAATTATAGTTCTAGCTATTCTCTTGAGGCACAACAACGATTGTTATAATATAATTGAATGCCGCTCCCGATAGACTACAGATTAACTACCGACGAGCCAGTAGGCGCACAAGGCGGCTTAGACAAATAATTGTACATTTACATGACCCAATTTCTCTAATAAGACAAACAAGATCTTGGCATTTAATAATTTAAGTGTTTGTGAACTTTATGCTGGATGCTTGAGAGCTACATATTATTAAATTAAAACAATGATATTACGCCAAGTAAGATATCGTCATTAACGGTCAAAAACTTTGTATAAAAATAGTATTAGAATGAAACCTTCAAACCAGCATAAGACTGGTAACGCACCTGTGACTCCTCTGGTGTTGTAGTTGTCCATTGGCGGCGCTAATTGCTTACCATCAGGTGATTCGTCTGCTCGTTTGCCTCGTATTCCATAAAAAATCTATTGCAAACGGGATACTTTTGGACATCTTCTCTTCCTTTTCCAATAGGTTTCATTCTTCTAAGTACTATTAAATGTTGTTTCATAAGTTATCTCGAATGGCCTAATAGCATAGTTAGCTCTCACGATGTATCTATTAACCTTTCTCTGTTCCCCTTGCTGCTACTGTTTCATTCAAAGATTGTCAGGAAGTCTGTTTTTGAATTTTAATGACAAGGATCCTACTAATCTTATAAATGCGCAATTCGTATATTTGTTTGTTACTATTTCATGTCAAAATAGCTGAAAGCATCGGTATGAAATTTGAAATAAGGGTTATGGTCTGAAATAATATATAAGCTGTTTTTCATCCAACGAGAACGCGGATGAAACAGCTGGCAGAAGCTAGTTAGCAATAAAGAATTGGGTATTGTTTGCTAACTGCCATCTTAAACCCCGGTTTATATGTGTTCGTATGTATCAATGTAAATACTTCTTTTTAATCGATTTTCAACTTAGTCATATCAAACTATAGTATAAATTATATTGCAGCTGTTGTTTTGATGGCCAGGTGTACAAGCATAAGTTTTGTCATCAGTCTCTATGTTAGGGCTATTATGGTTTCTTTTGCTATGCACAGCAAATTAGGATACTTTATCAATTAAAGTACACACGGCTACACATCGAGCTTTACATAACCAGTATAAACTGAACGTTAAATGTGCGGAAAGATGATGCGACGCGACACCAGGATAAACTGGTTTTGTATAGGTTGATGTGTGGCCGTGGGTGTATATAAGTTCCCAAATATAGATATGTATGTTGTCGGTTTTCTCCCTTTGGTATACATGAGAGATGACCGGAGCTGACATCAGCAGACAGCTCTTTGAGCTTTGGGAAATTCGCTGTGGTTTTACTTCAGTGTATTTTGTCAAAGGGAGCATTGTTAATAAAACCTAGTACAGTTTTATTATGGGACATTTCTACGTAGCATTGGAATAAATCTGTCAGAAATGCTAATGACCAGTTCGTTATTTCAAAAATTATGTTAATAGACACTAAAATGCGCTTTCTGATGAGGTTCTTATATTTACCGTTATCTGGTTAATACAACATACATCATGCCTTTTATCCCGAAGGGTAGCAGAGGTGTACGGCACTTAATGGCGCTGTAGAATGTAACACCCACCTTTCACTATTTATGTTACGAGTCCCATGTAATAGGGAGTGAGCCTATTGCCATATGCTGGGCGCAATTCCAGGCTCCGTGCTACTACAGAGAATTTTTAAAAACCCCAGCAGTACTTTGCGCAACCTGGGAATCGAACACGAGACCCTTGCTCGGTAGTGGCACATGCGACTACTCGGCCAACGTGGTAGTCCTAAGTTCTTGTTAATACAAATCCTTATTAATAGAGAACTTAACTAAAATCGCGGGTTACTCACGTCAATATACTGAGAAAAAGCTCTACTAGTTTCGAACCATTGAGGGGTTCTTCCTCATGAGCAGCGTGCGCGGTCGCGGTGCTCTCTGTGGTTCGAAACTAGTAGAGCTTTTTCCAGTATATTCACGTGAGTAACCTGCGATTTTAGTTAATTTACTATGTCTCACGATAGTTATTATAAAAAATAGACAACTTATTCATATCGTAAGATGTCTTGACGTCTTCTCATGATGTCTTTGTAACTGAGTACTGACCCATATTTAAGAATAGGGCAACAAAACGCCTACAGTCCTTAAAATATCAATACACGTAAGCCAATCTATTTATAAATCAACCTAAACCTTTTAAAAATAAAGCCTAAAATAAATCAAAATGAGTTTTTCAACACAAATTTTCTTTACCTGAATTCCGTAGCTTCGGTACGGAGGTAGGTAAGTAAACAAAAAATAATATAAAAGATAACGATAGCAAAGCCATTAAAATGAATTTTGTATGCCGAACAATTTTCGCGTTGGACATACCTACAAAAGGCCTACGACAAACTGTTAATAAATATTTTATAGGTACTCACAAAATCTGAATGTGAAAGGTTCAGCTTAGTTTGCTGTGTACGTGATGTATTTGATGAACGTGGTCTATTTGGAAGTTCATTTTGTGTTTCTGTATTCTAGTAAGTTTCGAAAAAAAACCGCTCGCGAAAAACCTTTTTTTAAGTGGGGAAAATCATCGAATTACTGCTCCCGTCTGGGTGAGGCGGGAGGGAGTGTCAGACTCTTACTGACTAAAAACCACCCCGTTCCTTCTCCTGCACGCCGAGCCGGAGCCCCGGTAACCCGTTAGGTTCTCCGCGACTCCGAATCAGCATCGGCCCTGTTGGGCCCCATCGTGAAAAAACCTACTAATATTACAATTTAAGACGCCCGCTTCTCATGCATGAGTACTAATGTAATTTTTTTCGATTTGTAAATACTTTCTAAGTATAATTTTACTCACCGTTGACAAACGGTGAAGGAAAACATCGTGAGGAAACTTCAGCTTATAATTTC